CCCCCCCTGGGGGGATTGATGGGGCTTCCCTGCCGGTGACAAGAGAATTAGCCAGTGAGTTAGTAAGTCAGGAAGGTTCTCTCTGATCTTTTATTTTGTATGTGGTTTTAGAAAGTTGTCAATTCTTTGTAACTTCAGTTACGCCATCAGCAATGACTTTTGTTTCCGAGTTGCTGGGAATTTCCTGGCTTTACTCTGTTACAGCTTGCTCGTAAAGCCCAGTCATCCTCTTAATCGTTTGAATCGAGTCTAAATTCAGGCCTCTTAGAGTTTCTTGCTGTATAATGAACTTACATAAATTCCAGTATGAGAGTCTCCACTTTTCTCGTCAGATGCCCTAAGACCACGTGAATGAGCCTAGACAAATTATGTAATAATGCCAGAGAAAAAGATTGACTGAAGTAGCTTATGAATTTTCATCCTTACCCAGTGCCTTCCATGTCATATCAGTGGTTGATTCTGCTTTCTGTAGGAACTGGAAACAGCTCGGATCTTTGTGCCAGGTGTAAATTTAAGGCTACCCGTCTTGAAAATCAAAAAAACCCACCCCCAAAACCAAAACCAAACCCCCAGCCAAACACCCCATCTCACAGAGACCACCAAATCTTCAGGGGTCTTTTGATTCCATGTGTGCGTATAAAATGCTGCTTTGGGACAGAATTTTTTTCTCTCTTCCTTTTGACCCTGATTTTGTCTTATATGAACTAATCTCAAATGCCATCTTGCAGCCTTCCTTGCAGGATTTGAAGCAGCAGCAAACGGCAAAGAGAAGCAAAGCTAGCCGTTTGCAAGCATGCAGGGCTTGAAAGTGAAGCACAGTGTAAGTTAGACCTGCATCGAGATTTTTTTCAGTAAACTTTAAAGGAAAAAAAGATAGTGCTTACAGTCAGGTCTTTGTGAAGGGAAGCACAGGAGTTCCGTTTCTGCAATCTAAACTGTTCCATTGCTCCCCAAAATGGCCCAAAGTGTAAAGAAACCTCTCAGTGTCCTCATGTTTTCATCCAATCTGAAGCCTCAGGTGTTAATACCTGCGTGTTGTGACGGTATAGCTGCTGTATGATGCAGCTGTCAGGACGTCTGAAGTTGCCTGAGTAGCTATTCATCCTCTGCCTTGGCAGGTTAGGTGTCTTTTCAGTTCTTCCTTGAAATTAAATTTCACAATCTTTGTTTGTAATAATGATAAAGCAGCGTAATAACGAGCAAGCTTAGTTTGCAATAATATGATTCCCGTAATATACTTCTGACTGTAACCTAGTGTTAACGTCGCTTTTATGTGGCAATAGCTGATGCTTAAATGAAGTATGTACACATTTATAGGCTTGATCTCAGAAACAGTTACATCTGTGTGTATATTTAATATAGTTTAGCTGCACAGAGGCCCATTGATTTTAATGAGACTCCTTCTGAGAGAAAGTGAACTCTTGAGGTGAGAGCTAACTAGAGCAGGCGCTGAACGTGTGTGAGGAAGCTTAGTGAGCTCTCCTAGATGGGAACTTGGAAATTGGGATGGTTCTCTTCCTCGTAGTGTTTGTGAAAGCATAGGCCTTGCAGAATCTTTTTGTTGTGATTTGTTGTGGTTTTTGTCTTTAATCTTTTAATTACTCCTCATCAGTCATTATTTTGTCAAGATGAATGAACTTTTTAATCTCTTCTGGTGATAGTCTTTGTATGTTAGGTGAAAATAATTCATGCGTTGACATGCGAAGAGGTGAGCTGTTCCTCTGCTCCTCATCAGCGCTTTCTTTTCCGTCCTCAGTGCTGGGGATCCTGGCTTCACACACTGCTTCCCCCGTGCCCCTGCACGTGCAGTTCTGTTTCTTCCTTGCTTCTTCACTCTGCTTCACTTTCCTCCTCTTCACACAGATGCGCCCTCACTGAACTCTTTCTTACATCTCAGCTTTAGCAACTGCAAGGAGTTTTCAGTGGTAAATAAGTAAAAGGCTGTCACCCTAGGAGTTAGGTGCTACTTGCTAATCTTGTTGTATTTATCCCTAATGGTTCTTTTAAAATGAAGGTGAGGAAATGACGAAGGGTTTGGGAGCTGACTGAGAAATATGTGTAACAGCGATTTATTTTCAAGTAATTTAACCCTGCAGTCAGGATCTCCAAAAGCAGATAGTTAAATATATCAAGGCAAGAATAGTAGACAAAAAGATGTCATTGACTTTCTTCTGTTGATGTTTTCAAATTTCAGAACATGAACCTTTTTTGGAAGTTAAATGAAAAGAAACTTTACTGAGTACTCTTAGGGAACTAAGTCATCATCTGCACAGCTCCTAGGAGGTTAGGAAATTCCGTGCCCTGCTTTTTCTCTCATGCAGGGTATCAAAGGTCAGTGTTTGACTCGGATTGGTACATTCCTGTGTTGTGGTCTAAGTGACGGAGCACCTGTATGAAATCACTGGTTGGACACAATTAGTTTAACTTGTTGACAGACAAAGCTGCGGTTATTCAGCTCGTTTCCGTGTCTAGCACCAATTCCAACCCTCGCTGCAGAAAATGGATCCTGTATTCCTGAACTGATATTGATGGTTTGTTAAAATATGCCATCTGCTCTTTAACAGACAAGTTCACTGGAGCTGAAAGCGCTAGAATGTGAGGCATTTTAACTGCTAATTTACATCAGCTCCGACTCCTAATGGAGTTTGTATTATTTCAAAACCCCGTTGTTAAAATTGCTGAGATCTAAATCTCAGCTACAAAGTTTTGGGACCTGTTAGCCCGAGCTCCTTCAGCACTCCTGAATGTCGGCAAGAGTCAGAAACCAAAACTTGACACAGCTGTAAAAACACACGGAGAGCCTGTGGCTTCAGCAAATTCTACTGGTGCAGGCATATTTCGGGTATAAATATTACTCGGCTGTCCCTGGTACTAATGAAGTCAGTTTCTTTTGGTGGGTTTGCAGCCAGGTGTGTCCAGTTCTGTGGCTAACCAGTGCTCTTTACTTAATTTTTCCACTAGTGACATTTCTATCAAGCTTTAAAAACAAACAGAAAAATTGGCTTGATGCAATGGCTCAAAGTGTTAATAGTAACATTAGGCTGGGTAAAAGGCTTCCTTTCAGCCCTCCTCTGCCAGAGATCTCCACCTCGTGGCTCGAAAGGAGCAGATTTACACTCGGCAAACCGGTGGCTGCCGAATCGGTTTGTAAGAGGAATTCGGGCAGGGCAGACATCGCTGCTGTCTGTCTTCCTAACAGAGCTCTTCAGCAACCTGCTTGTTAACCGTACCGACCCCAGGGTTGTGTTTTACTAACTGTGTGCTTATGGAAGGAGTTGTTCTCAGTACAAATGGGTTTTAATACCCTTAGAGTTGATCAGAAGGACTTGCAGGTGCTGGAGTTCCCTGGAACTGATGATTGGA